TTTTTCCCCCGGGGGGGGGGGGGGGTACTTCCGGCGAGGGTGTGAGAAGGAGTCTTGTATTTCGGGACCATAGGCCAATGTTGAACCAAACAAGTACAGCATGGAGAACGGGGCGGTAAGCTTGTGGAGTCTGTTTATGAACTCGTAGGGTGTTCTCTTGTCGTGTACCATGGCACACTAGTAGGACCGCGCGACCGCCAACGATCCCGTCCGCTTGAACAGAGGTTCCAACTAAACATCATGGAGACCTTTCGGCCAAATAAGCACCAAGAACAGCACAACGGCAAAGAATAGAGACATGGGACAGCACGTAATGAAGGCGACAAATAGGACAGCACGGCGCCGCCCGCCCAAGTGCACACGACCCTCGTGTGTCAGCCGTAAACCTCAACCTTCGGCAGCACGCAGCACACCCAACAGCACCGAAACCATCCGTGACGCCCCCGCAGACTTCCCGAGGACACAGCAGTCACGCCTGCATTTCAACAAGGGCTACTGCTGTGGCCATCTGTACTATCGCAAGAAACCGGGGCCGCCCGCTGGGGAGCTGCAAGTGGTACCAAAAACGATTCCGCCGCAACATTCGCTGGCAATCACTGCCTAAAATACTCGCTCGAAAAAGCGGTGCTCGCGCACGAAGATGCAACCACCAACCCCTCCTACAAACACTCCATGTTGGCAAACCGCATCACACACACAGGTATGCTCCTTTCCCCTCCACCGAGAGCTGGGCCGTCAATCCTCCCATGCCCCCTTTTGTCAGTGGTGGTGCGTGCAGCGTCAGCGTCATCGGCAGTTACAATTATATGCCAAAACACCTGCTTGGGGTTTGAGCAACTGTTTCGGCTGCTGTGTGGTGCTGCGTGCAGCGTCGTCGTCATTTAAATTCTTACCCATGTCTTTGCACACACACACACACGTAGACCCCGCCATGACGCCCCCTCACGGGGTCCCACATCGCGGTCTTTAGAATGCAGTTCTTGTTTTCAACCGCACTGAGATTGACGTCTATTCATATCGTCAGCCGGCTAGCTCGTTTTGCGCTGACAACAAACGCGCACATAAACACGCACACCTGACTGCCGTCTTTTCATTGGTCAGCCGGTTAGCGCGGTCGATGCAAATAATAAAACACACACACAGACACACACCTGCTTGGGGCTGAGGGTGATCCCCGTCACGCTTGTCTCGGGCCCGAGCTTCTTGGCCAAGTACCGGGACGTGCCCCCAACCCCGCAGCCGACGTCCAGCACCTTCTTCGGAGACGTCTCGGGCCCGGCCACCACGCCCCCCCACTTGGCCATCTCGTCGATAAAGTCGTACTTGGCCTGGATAAAGTCCTTCCGGAACGCTCCCTGTAACATTAGGGTCGGTGTTCGTGGTGTGAGCAGAGGGCAATTGATGGGGGTTCCCAGGGGGATGGGGGGGGGGGGGCTGGAAGCCGTGCTGATGCGTTCAATAAGAAAAGCTACGCAAATAAACAGGGTGTTGGAAACAAGTTGGTGGGCAACTGGGGGTGGGTCAAACCAGGCTTTCGCAAACCGGTCGACGGAAAAAAGCACGTCTCATAGAGAACCACCACAAATGGCGAGGAACGCATTAACTTTCCACCGAACCATAGTGAGAACGCCTGAACAGGACAGCGAGCAGCCTGAAGCGTCTCTCACCTTCTTCCGCTCTTCCTCGTTGTAGTAGCCGAGGTGGATGTGCTCTCCCCAGTAGCTCTCCAAGATGCCGTCCTGAAGGCCAGACGTGACCACGATTGCCAGCATTTATCGACACGACACACAGCAGTCGTTCGTCCATATCACCAAGAGCGCTACAACATAAGACAGAATTTCACTCTTGAGAGAATTAATGGGTGATATCGCCATCAACATTCGGTGCTATCCGCCAAGTCCAAACCGCAAGAAAAAATACATGTATGGACGCCAAGAACCAGCAACATCGGCGTCAAAGATACCAACGCTGGCGTCGGTGTGGGTAGCGGTAACATGAAAAAACAAAAGGGAATTCGCAGCTGGGAAAAGATGGGGGGTCAACCACAAAGCACGGCGGCATCATGGCAGGGTGTACGTACAAGACGGTTGCAGGACCACCATGTGAGGCACCTGTGGTACAAACCATGCTCATTTCCTTCTGCTACACAAATTGCAACAAAAAAAAACCCGAAGACATTCATCAGCAGTGCCCCCAACAACACAGGATTGCTGCTGGTCGTAAAACCCTGCCACCACCGGAACCCATGTCGCCGGACCGCCTTCGCCAGGACCCTAAATAGTGTCGCTAATCCATGAAATAGAGAGGGGGGTTCGTATCCTTATCCATGACCCTAACGTCCCGTGCCCCCTACTAAAACCAACACCAACACCCCCCGAAGGCCAATGGGGGGGTTCGTATCCCTATCCCTACAATCCTCCGTGTCCCCTACTACAGTAACACCAAGCTCAATATCCTCCCGAACGTCACTGGGGGGGGGCTCGTATCCCTACCCCAACCCCGCACCCCCTGCTCAAACTAAGCTCAACACCCTCGCGGAAGTTTTCCTGATAAATTACCCCCCACCAACCCACCCACCCACCCACCTCCGTCCATGCATCGTACTCGTTCCCGACCGTGTTCGCGTCCGCGTCGTACGGCCTCGAGGGTGTGTCGAGCACCTTGATGGCAACGGCCCCGAGAAGGCCGACTGCCGCCACCGCCGCGCCCACCACGGCCGTCCGGCGAGTAAGAAAGCCTCCCTGTATTTTGTATGTTATCAACAGGCCGGGGGGGGGGGGGGGAAGCTTGGCTTTTTGGGGGGGGGGGGGGGGGGGGTTTCATTTTTTCCCCTCTTGAAAAAAAAAAAAAAAGAAAAACCCCCCCTTGGGGGCCCCCGGAAAAAAAAAAAATTAAATCCCAAAAAAAATTTTTTTTTTTCCCTAGAAAAAGGGGCTTTCCCCTTTAGGGGGGGTGAACCAATTTAGGAAAAGGGGGGGGACCGGGTTTTTCTTTTCCCCCCACCGGGGGGCGGTTTTAAAGGGAACCCAACC